CTATGAACACCTGAACCATCTGTCCATCCCTTTCTTAAGGTTGTTTGTGCATATTTATCTATACACTAATACACCACACACACACACCTGCAATACATTTTGTACCTATAAGATCATCAATGGTAAATACTGTGCTATAAACACTGTGCTACTAATGTAATGGGGGACGATGGGGGATTTGGGTTGGGGCTGTGGGAGAATGGATTAAGGGAGGTCATGAGGATACAATTCAATGAGTTGTTCAGCAGCTTTCTCAGGATCATCATACCACTTGAATAATGTTAGAAAGATAGTTGGATGAGATGGATCATAACCAACAAATGGAGGACTCTCCTCGTTTTCTGAAAGGTTCAACAACAGCATGATAAAATAGAATAAAGGAAGGTACAGAACTCACCAAACTTTGACATCATGTCATCAAACAATTGCAATCTGGTGACATCCTCTGAAGAGACACTCATTTTGAAAGAAAAAACCAGAAAAGAGATGAGATAGATCTACGAAGCGATTCGATTTTTATGGCCAATGCGGGGCGGGGTGTGTGTAAAGCTAGGAGGGGCCTCACTAGGCGGGCGGGCCCGGGGGCCGGGCGCGAGCTTGCATAATTACTGTTGATTTCAGTTCAAATGGAACACCCGGGCGGACCGGGTCCGGGATCTGGTCATTCTGAAAGTAAGCTCACGTAATAAAAATGGCTGACCCGGCCACGGCCCGGGTGTTCCATTTGAAGTGAAATCAACAGTATGATTAGAGTAATTATTTTCCGCGACCCGGGTGCTGGGTCACTTCCAGATTTAAAATGTCCGTCTCAATCAAAGAGGGAGATGGCGAGAGCGAGGATGAGAGCGAGACCTTCTGTAGTGAAAGTCAAGAGGAATCAAAACATGTAGATAAAAATGTAACTAGCATTTAAGTTTATTGATCATATTCATAATAATTTTTTAGACAGGAGATTGGTATCATAAATGTATCCCCGGAAAAGATTCACCCGTCAATGAAAAAAAGCGACATTACAGTGAACCTCAACCCTCCACAGATCTAAGTAAGTTGTTGTTCATCTCCTCAAAAATAGATGATCTGATATCAGATCTTATTCATGTCGATTCCTTACTGTGACAATAAGCATAATACTGGCTTGCATAGTGTTGGCAACCTGGCAACATCATGAACTATTGTCAACTATTGTAACACTATTTTTTATTAGTAACTGTTGGTGCTACTATTCTTTTGAAAGTTTATATAGTAACCTCACCTGAATTCACCATAACTAGAAGAATGTAAAACATTAAAGGGCTTAGCCCCTGAGCCATGCTATATTGTTGTGCTGTATGACGCACAGGCCATGAGCAAGGAAATTTCATTAAATTTTTCAACTTGCAGACTGCAAAATTAACAAAATTTAATTCATGCACTTTAAAAATTACAACTATAAGCCAATTATATGCATGGATAGACAATAAATACTATCCTGAGCTAATGTCTGATTATTGGCTACACACAATAATATTAAGTTTAATTTTTTATAGGTGATAAGCTATTTGATGTACATCCCAATTGGTTGAAGGACGGAATGCTAGATTCTACCATAAAAGTGAAGGTCACACCAATGCTATTGATCAATTGTGGGCTACCAAGCAGCAGGAAAACTACAACGTTAAAGAAAGTCTTGCGAGCAGCTTCAAATTTAAAGGAAGAAGATGGCATCGGGTTTTGTGACATGCTTGCTGCTCGAAATTTAATCCACAATAAGATTGTGTTTATGCCTCAACTACAAGAAAGCAAAGGATATCTATCAGTAATGTATGCAGGAGTAGAAAATGTGGCTCGATCATCCGCCAAAACAATTCGAGTGCTACCATCAAATAATTTTTCTGGATTCTCCAGTCAGGATCTAAACGATCACTTTACAGCTATCATGGAAGACTTGCATAAAAAATATCTCAAGAAGCAACATGACGAGCCTACTGAATGGGATCAAAGCCACACGGGTGGATTAGCTCTCATTAATGTTTGGGATCTTGGTCTTAACAAGATACCAACTTATGTTCTCTCACATCTTGCTGGTCATCTCTACAATAGTCATGTTTGGATGTTTCTTGATCTGCTACGTGATGTCGATCATCTTTATGACGTTCCTGATATTCCTGAGAATCGATATGACAAGTCACGTAATGACAGGGAACTCATAATGAGGTGGAGATCACGTATTCGTTATTTTTTTCGTTTTGCTAAACTTGCTTCAACAAAAAATGGAAATCGTAAAAAAGTTTGCAGCGTAATTGCTAGCCACAATGGATCGACAAATCTTGAAGAAAAAATGAAGAAGTTAAAAGATGCTGTTAGCACTGTTTCCAAGCAATTAGGGCTCCAAGATCTTATTGATATGGAGAAATTTAAAGATTTTCACAATGAAGATATCGAGCCTTTGTGTAAACTTTTAGAAAAGAGAATAAAAGATGGTCTGGACTATCATGCAGAAGAGGTTCCACTTTCCTTCATGTTTCTTCGAAGTTTGTTTTATAAGAAAGATCAGCTTTACATTATGAAAGAGGAGTTAGAAGCATTATCAAAGGAGCTCAATATGGATAACGAGAAGTTTCAAAATTTTTGCTGTTTCTTTACTTCATTTGGGAGCATCATCGATGTCAGTTTGATTGACCCCTCTTCGAATTTAATCATCTTGCAGCCAGTTTCATTTTTGAATAAGCTAGATAAGCTGTTCTATTATTCTCCTGGTGACCCCATAGTTACTAGTCATGGCTTTGTTAGTAAGGCTACAGCTGAAGCCATTTTTAATGAAAAGGATGAAAATGCATTAATTTTTATGTCATTCCTTAAATCGTTACGTGTAGCTACCAAAATTCTACCGGGGCAAATTAAGACAGCTATTGATAAATGGGGCTATTATATTCCTAATATTTGCAATCGCCCGCCCATCCTGCAGTGCAGTCCTACTTCACTTCATTTGGTCCATGACATGAATATTTCATTGTCACATTTTAAAGTCACTTTCACTGCTAATTTTTTGGAGTCGTATCCCAAAGCTCAACTCGATGTATCCAGGACCCCTCACATTAATGTGACACAGTTTTGTTCTCGTTCAAATGATTGTCTTTTTGAGCTTGTTTATCTCGGGGATATCATTGAGTTTCGTTTTCCTGATCTTGATAAAGAGCTGTTGCATGAAGTCTGTGAGCATATTGTCATCAAATGTCATGAGATAATGAATGACAGTGATGTATTATATAACTTTGCAATAATGTGTGAGAGGTCCGAGCGTTCTTGTAAGCTTCAGATGGAACGTCATGCTCTTCCTTTTAAAGATGAGTGCGAAGAATGTTTTGGTACTATGTCCAATCAAGATGTTAAGAAGATTGAAGTATTTAACTCTGTATTGACAAAGGTAAGTTTAAGTTCATACTTGTTCCTCAATTTACATTTTCGTGCAGCATAAAATTGAGAAGAAAGTACTTAATGGAGGTATGTTGGTAGTTTTATGTAAATGTGTCATAAAATTATTTTTTAAGATTCTTTCTCACCAGAAGATGCGTCTACGGTATCAGGAAAATTAACTGAGCTATCAGCTGAAGGAGCCAAAGCTGTTTATAGTGAATTTATGGGAACCAGCTCAGATAAGGACTGGAAGAACTGGAAAGTCTTCATGCAAATGATACTTACCTGGGAAGAAAAGAATGAAGATGGAAAGAGACAATTTTTATCAAAGCTTCGGTCAATAGATTTAGTTGATAAGTCAGATGCTGATAAAGTACAACAAATTGCTAACAGTCAAATCAAAGGTAGCATAATATTATTGTGATATGTCAGCATTATAAAACTTACTAGGCAGCATTTGAGCTGTTATGCTTGGCCATCGTACTGTCAAATTTTTAATCAAAAGCGGGGGCAATTTGACCTGATGCTAGAGTCTATTCCAGCATAAAAATAAACTTAATGTCAGAACTAGCGCAATATTGTAAACCTGCCTTTAGGCTTTGAATTTTTGACTTGGGCAAAATACATGCTCTTTGACATAATAATTGTAATGCTATTCTCTTTATATAGCTTATTAATGATTGTTTTTATCACAATTTAGGTTATTACAGGCAAGTGTCAGAGAATGATTAGAGTGAATATTAAAAAAAAAACTATAATTTTTAATCCTTAATTAAAAGATAGATTATTTACATTTTTTTTGTAGAACAGTGAAGTATTTCAATTATTTTTATATGAAATTTCATCATGATTCGTATATCTAAATCGTATGGTATCTATGATGAAATTATGAACCACACATAAAGCACAGTCCACACCTATTAAAATGGCGGGGTTTTCATTGTATTCAAACAGCAAGGACACTGAGGGATTAGTAAGCTACTGTCCAATCATGTAGTCAAAAACTAATCATTATTTAAGATAATATCAACTCATCAAGGCATGGACAGATGTGCATCGTTGCTGAAAGCATTGCTGAGTCCTAGAAAAGATCAAAATTACCCCCCAAAAGGTCGGTGCAAATATTTGCAGGCTGTAGCTAAACACTAAACTCTTAGAAAATGATAATCCAAAGACACCAAGACCTCGACCAAGACAGTTACCATTATCAGCAACAAGTTCCTCTAAAGCAGAGAGTAGGGGGAGGACTTGTGGTGGGCAGAGCCATGAGAATATTGTCACCAAGCCAGTTCAAACAGTTAGTGACAATATGAGACATTCTGCAAATAAGAAGCAGGCACACAAAAACTGTAAAACTGTGAACACTGCTAATACCAGGAAAAACAAGAAACAAGCAGGGCTGTTCCTCTCCAGCAGTGCCA